AAAGCAAAAGCACAAACAGTTGGTACACTGGCTCTCCGTGGAATCAGGCCATGCAATGCATGCCTAGCTCCCTCACACAGATTATACACCTGTCTCACAGGTGTTTGTCCTCTTGCATACCTCCAAGACAGAGGTGTACAAAAGGAAAGTACCCAGTCTATGTTTCCAGTTACATTTGCCACATAAAACCAGCTGGCATTGCAGGGAGACAGAAAAGATTGCACAGCTCACTGACCTCCAAAGGCATTGAACTTACATTTTAGAGCACAAAAATACCTTTAAATGAAAGGGCTTATTAGGGCAGTGAAGAGAAAGGAAAGAGAAGCCTCAAGAAGAGTATAATTGCTGAGCATAGTTAATATGGTTTTGTAGTCTCCCATATAAAAATGTTACCTAAATACTAGCACCACAGGAGTGTGGCCACAGCCCAGACGTCTTACCCACCTCCGCTTTGATGGTTTTAAAGAGCAAGTATTTCTATCACCTATTATACAATAAGAACATTTTGTATTTGAGGTCCTAGGTAGATACATCAATAATGTAAAATTCCAAGACAAGTTTTCAATATAGAGTGAAGGTGTTTTGGTTATAAATCAAACAGCCCACACTTGACCTCTATGAATCCACTCTAAGCCAATGGCAGCTTCTAAGTTGCATATACACATTTACTGCAGTTACAAGACAGATGATGGTTCATGTCTTTTGAAGTTACCTAAACAGTTCTCATGGGTTTAAAAAAGTAAAAAACCTAATTCCAGTTCTTCTAGTCACAAATTGAAATACCACTAAAGCTTTGAGAGAAAACAGAACCCTACGGGTCTCTGGTTACAAATGACACATAACTCAATTAGTTACAGGGACATATTTGCTGCCCTGTAATGACTCTTGATGCCATTTCATGCTGACCATCTCCCTCACGGAACAACTGCTGAAGTCAAAAGGGGCAATGGAGATTGGATTTACTAAGTACTGCTACCAATCTACTTAGATTGATTATTTTTAATTATTTGTAATCCTCTTCTCAAAATTAATTTCTGGTAATTAAAAAGTTAGGGAAAATATATCTACTGTTAGTAAAAAGCTAAAACCTTTCTGTTTTGCAGTTCTGTTAAAAACAGGGAAGGTGAATGATGCCATTCATATCCCTGGCTCTAGGGGGTGACAGCTGGCTTAGCTGCCAGAACCCCGGCTAGTGACCCAAAACTGCACTTATGCAATGGGCAGGTAGGTCACTTTTACCCATAAAAGACTCCCCCCCTCCCCCCCTTAGCTGAGAAATGGATTTCAGATTGATCCCACTTTTGTGTGCATGGTGAACAAAAGAGAATTCATTGCAAGTCTTCCATGTCACACAGTCCTTCTCCAGCTCCACTATCCAAGAGCAATAAGCCACATAGCAGTCATTTGCTACTGCCTCAAGGGAGGCTGCCTACCCCTTAGCTGTGCTGCAGCAAGCCTGCCACACAGCACTTCTTTTTAAAATAGATAGTCCTAAAAAGAGCTAGCAGCAGTACTACAAAAGGACAAGGACAACATATTTAGTGTTGTCTCTCTCAAAGAGAATTCCTCAGAGAATTAAGAGACGAGCAGCAGAGTTAAACTTCTGGTCACCGTAATATCAGGATATGATGACCTTGTCTGACTTTAATCTCTGCTTGCTACCCATCGATGAAGTAGAAGTCCTCTGTCTCCTGAGACTTCACTAAGCAAGCCAATTCAGCATCGGTCTCTTTCATCAGCACAGGTTACCGTATCTGATTCAACAAGCTAAGATAACCTGAGGGACAGAAAGTTCACAAGTGTTGTCTCACATTGCCTCAAATTCTTTTGACTTCAACCTGAATAAGTTATTTAACAGCTACATTGTTAATCTTTGCATGACCCAAAAAAAACCCCACAAAAAAAACACAAAAAAAACCACAAAAAAACCTCAACAGCCTTCACTGCAGGGGAATTCAGTCTGAATTCTGCTTTCTAAGGGACTTTTGTTTCTTTCTAAAAAGATGTTTAGCATTTAAAAAAAATACTTCCAAGTTCATTCTGCCTTCACAAAGAGGATCCAAGCAGCCTTGCAATGAGCCTCCTCAGTATAGGCAATATGAACATACCTGTCACCACGCAAAAGCAATGGAAGGAGATGTTTCCTAAAGCTAGCTAGCACCAACTGTGTGTTTCCTAACATTAGCACCAGATCAGTGTGTCTCCTAAAGTTAGCACCAGATCAGCACGTTTCCTAAAGTCAGCACCAACCAAATCAGCGTTTCCTAAAGTCAGCACCAGATCAGGATTGTGCTCAGATTCTCCAGTATATTCCAGCAGGAAAAGAAAAAAAACATTAGTAGCAGACTTAAGAGCCAAGGACAGCCCTATCTTCTCATAGCAGCAAGTTTTTGATTGCTACATTCATCACATTTCTCCCTCTTACTCTAAAATGTCTGGGGAGAAAGACAATGATGCACAGGGATGAACATAGGCAGATCAAATCAAGTTTCTCCATCAACCATGTCAAAAGCATTCATTGCTTACTAAGTGTAAAACAAGTCTCCTCCTCTGGAGACACTCAAAACCTGCCTGGAAGTGTTCCTATGTGATCCTGCTCTGGCAGGGGGGTTGGACTGGATGATCTTCAGAGGTCTCTTCCAACCCCTACCATTCTGTGATTCTGCGAAATGTTGGGAAGTAACAGCCTACTAGATAAGGAAAGCAGCAAGATTCATCCTGATCTTAAGGAGGCTTCCAACAAAGGCAGGTGTTGTCAGGGAACCAGTGAAGTCTGGTCCTGAAGAAGGAATATAGTGTTGGCACACTCAGCTGTGTTCAGAAAATAAAATACTGTACACAAAATAAAGTTGCACTGTCATATTTAAAGGATTATCTAATGTGGTTCTGAAAGGGTCTGCCATGGGCATGAAAGTATTTTTCATTTACTTGATGTTACAGTGGAAAGTAGGCTTCAGTTTGCAAATATCAAGCTAATAGTGTTGCAAGCTCACTGGGACAGGATGAGAATTCAAACCAAGTTTTCAACTGAAAAACTGAAGATGAGGTCTGAAAAAGCCCTAACATAATTTGAACAGAGACAAATTTGCAGACAATACAAAACCAGGATAAGTTGCTGGGACTCCAGATGCTTGTGCTGCCACTCAGAGGGACCCAGACAAGGCTGGAGAATTGAGCTAAGAGGAATTTCATTGAGTTCAAGCAGGAGGAGTGCAAAGTCCTGCACCTGGAGAGGAACAGCCCCATGCATAAGAATATGCTGGGGGTCGCCTGGCTGAAAGCAGCTCTACAGAAAAGGCCCTGTGGGGGTCTCGGTGAACACCAGGTTAAGGATGAGCCAGCAGTACAGTGTGCCCCTGCTACAAACAAGGCAAATGGCCGCCTGGGCTGCATTAGGCAAAATACTGCCAGCAGATCAAGGGAGGTGATGCTTCCTCTTAATTAAGCACTGGTGAGGCCACTCCAGGAGCGATGTGTCCAGTTCTGGGCTCTCCGGTACGACAGAAATATGGACTTACTGGAGCGAGTCCAGTGCAGGGCCAGAAAGATGATAAAGGGTTTAGGGCAATTCTCTGAAGAAGAGAAGGCCTTATCTTATCAATACGTATAAATACTTGATGGGATGGAATGAAGAACACTACTCTTCTCAGTAGTGCTCACTGGCAGGACAAGAGGCAATGGACAGAAATTTTTAAAAAAAGGAAATTGCACCACAAGGAAGCACTTTTAAAAAACATTTGATCACTCTAAGAGATCAAACAGTGGAGCAGGTTGCCCAGAGATGATGTAGATTTTCCATCTGTGTAGATACTCAAAACCCAACTGGGCATAACCTGCTCTAGCTACCCTGCTTGAGGAGAGTAGGGTTGGACGAAATGATCTCTAGAAGTCCCTTCCAACCTCAACCATTCTGGGACTGACTCTGTGAACCAGACTGAACTAGGAAATGGGTCAATCAGAGAGAAAGGGTTATGGTAGACAAACTGAAAATTATTTGCTGCTAAAGAAAAGCCACATTAGGATGTACAAAACAGAAATCTTTCTACTATATGCTACTTTGAGAAGACCTCAGCTGGAATGCCACTTCTAGTTTTGAGCACCAGATTTCAGGATACAAACGGGTCAGCTGAAGAAACATTCTCTTTGGCAGAAGAGAACAAACAGAGACCTTTAACATTTCATCTAGAAATCCTTAAGAGTTTAATCTAGAAACAAGAAGGTGGGAAATTACATTCAAGCAGTAGACTTGCAGAGAGGAAGGAAATAAAATGCTCTCCACATCCTCTGTGCAAATACAGGTTACACAAAAAAACCACACATCAAAAAAACCCAAAGAGTAAAGCCCTAGATTTCCTCTAGAGGTCATCCAGCCTCCACTACAGGCTTTGAAGAACAGACAAAGCATTTCTAAGGAAGTGACAGTGGTATAATGGAACCATGGCAGAGAGGTGAGGGAGTACTACAGCTTCCAGATCCCTTGGAGCGCTTTTTCATGCTTACATGAAATGACAGAGCTTCAAGGAATAAACGTTTCATTGAAAGGTTCAACAGGGTTTGAGGCATCCACCTACAGCTATAGCTTCCTATCCCTTTAACTCACTAGCTCTTAAGCTTTCACAGGTAAACTACCATTTCACAAACTTAATTAGATCAACGCTATCCCTGTGCCTTAAAGGACAAAGCCTGAATAGACAGGCTCAGTACAGAAGTAAACAGTTCTGTGACCTGTGTTACTCAGGTCAGGTAGGCCTAAATATTTCCTTCACTTACACTGCTAAGACATACATTTCTGATAGCTAGGAGTCACAATTTGGCTTACAAGGCCAAGTGAGAGTGTCTAGTTTATATAAAAAGGCAGCTTGTACTGAGAATCTGAGCAAGGAAAGATGAATATCCTGTATACATAAAGAACTCTGTGAATACAAAGAAGATATCTTCTTTATATTCACCTCAGCAAAAGAAATTAGGCCCTATAAGCAAAAAAAGAATCTCCAGGTCAATCTTGAATCTTCAGGCATCTTCCAGTTTCTCCATTAATAATCAAGATAAAAATATTTTAAAATTGTGATGCGAGTTTTCACTTTCTCTCTCGTCACACAAGATACTAAAAAGAATATTGGCGATTTATAAGCAAAATTCTTACCGCATTTCAACATGCAACATTGGTCTCACTTCTGTACGATTAAATAGACTATTTACACACAATACATATATATCTTTCCCTCTGTATGCACATGCATTGGTCCTAGCCTAGGGCATCAAAGGCCACATGTGAGTTCTCTGGGTCAAATCTTGCTCAAGCAATTCCAGTCTGAACGTGTTTTTTCCTTTGGATAGCTTAGGATCTCGTCTCAGTTCTTCCGAATATCAGCATAGACCACAGACTCTGACTTGTTAATCTTGTCGCTGTGCTGTCCTCCAGAGTGATCTAACTGCGCGTAAATGACTGGGCCCTGGGAACAGAATAAAAAAGCACAATCAGTATTTTTCAGAACAGGGCATATGGCCCCTTGCTTCCGCAGGGGCTGCAGCAAGACCTAAGCCAAAGCAAGACCACAGAGCTTTTATGACTGCTGACAGCACTGTGAAGCAGGTGGAATGAACCCTCAGCTACAATGAGCTCTAGTCTGCCACCTTTCTCCCGTCAGGAGCATGCCAAACAGCACCATTTTCCCCCTTTAACACTCTTAGGGCTGCTTGCTTCTCACACAAAGCAAAATCTAGAATCCTTTGTTCTGAAAAGCAGCAATTCTTGCATGCTATGGAGGAAAGATACATGGCTCAGTCAGATGCATGTCAGATTTCTCAAGAGGAACTGTACTACAGATTTACCAGTAGACAGTGGCGTGTATGTCCCATACAGCCACCCGAGTCCTGTAAATCCCAGCACAGCTGTACCACGCGGATAACGAGGGAGAGAACAAACCTGCAGCCACCTCATGACACCAGTCACTGCCTAAGCAAGCAATGGGGTCAAGACTTATGCAGCAGTGAGCCAGAAAATACTGAAACAGTGCAGTAACACAGACTTCTTACCTGACTTTTGAGCCAACCCAGGTAGCAAGCACCTCCACAGACATGTGGCAAGCATGGCCACACACCCTCCTTATGTTGGCTGGGGTGCAGCGGAGGACATCACAGCACTACCTTTCAGCAGAGCATGCAAACACACCAGTGCCTTCCTAAAACACCGTGTCCTCAGCTGTCCACAGCCCACAGGAAAGCAAATTGCAAGTATTCAAGATGGGCTGAGGTCAGAACTGCAGCCTATAAAGAGCAGGTACCCACCAAAACAGGTGGGACCTTTATGGAAAGGTCTGACCTGCGGCTCCTGCTCTGCATGCCCCAATTGATGGAAGCAGAGCAGAAAGTTGTGAGCACCTACCAGGTCACCTCAGCAGAGAGACCACACATCCCATGAGGGAGGGAAAGGGACTGTCCTATTTGGGGTGGGCGTGGGAAATGACAAGGAGAGATCTTTTTGTTTGGTTGCAGCTTTTCTAGCAGTTTTTGTGTCAAAACCATTTCATCCATTCAACTCTGTTTCTGTTTTCCTTATGTCCCACCAAGAAGTTGCCCTTACAGGCATTTCTCCTACCCTCTTCACCCCACAACTTCTGGTATCCTGCCAAATTAGGAAACACCTCTATGGAACTGACACAGAAATTCTTCCAACTATCCTTTAAAGCAATTAGGGCCAGAGGTGAAAAGAGACTTTCTGTACAGGAAATTAAGTCCTTGAAGGACCATAGATACACTTCTGAACAGCTGTTTTCCTCCCATCACAATGGCAAAACGCACATCTGATAAATACCTTGTTCTCTTTCAGAAGTAGTTCAAATCCAAATTTTCTTTCTTCTGGGTAAAGTATTTCCCAAGTGATAAAGAACAGAGGAAGGAGATGGACAGAAGGATGAAAACTTGAAAGCAGATTTTAAATACTGAATATAAATAACAAACTGAGAAAATGCTCAAAAAAAAGACACTGATGTCTTAAAAAATTCTGGATTTCAAGTCTCATCAGAGCCATATGAAACCCAGGATTTTCCTAAGCCTTACAATTCTTCTATTCAGAACTGAAGAGAAGAAAGAGTAGCAGCTGTACCGATACCTTGCTACGTGTTTGTCAGCAGAGTAATGAATTGCAAGTTACAGCGAAGAAAAAGGAATTACAAAGTTAGACCATTGTGGTCTAAGAGTGGTCTACAGTATTTTCATTTTTTTCAGATGCTGAAAGATGTTGCAACTACCACTGATTCCAGCTCCAGGAATTTTATCTGAAATTTAAATCAAGACTTCTGGCACCAAGAACTGCTCCTTCCCAGGGTCCTGGAGTCCAGTTCAAAGCCTGGAACAGAGCTCCAACATTGCCTGCTCAAGGATGTCTTAAACCACAGAGAGTAAAGCCAGAGATCAGCACTTAAGCTAATGAAGCTTTAGTGCTCCCTGCTTCTACACTGACAGACCTACCTGCTTGGGATCTCTACACCATACTGCCCTGTACATCAGAAATCCACTTCTATAGAAGTTATACTTGAAGATCAGTGGTCCTTCAGCCTGCCCAGAATTGAATACTCAGCTACTTGCAAAGCACAGAGACAAATGTCAGCCATCTTGGAGTTAGCACATCTTGGGACTGCCAGTTTGCCTGCTGTAACCCAGATTAGTAGCTAAACAAGGACAACCATGTGGGAAACACATGAAGTTCTTGCCTTCACGGGAAATGCTTTTCTCACTCACCCAAATAAAAGTCATAGTAGAATATGAGTCACTACGGAATGATGACATAGGACAAAACACCACATACAAATTTGACAGGACAGAACACACCCGCTGGGAAAGAAGACAGAGTGAAAAAAAGTGGAGTTGATTCAACCAGCTGAACATTCACAAAATCAGATATGCATGCTTTCGGCACACTGGGGCACTCCAGAAAGCAAGGTCCACACTTGATAAACTTCCACCCAAAACCCAAAGGAAGTGCAGGCTCGAGTGCACTTTCAGCTGAGAATTGATGTGCACAAATACTTCATCACTGATTCTTAAACTGATACATAAATAATAAAATGAATAAACTTCATTTAATAAATTTAATTTAAATGCCACTCTTTGAGAGTGAACACCTTCACTGCTGTTTTTAACTTGCAGAGGCAGGGGTTGAGTATTTGTATTCACAGTTCTTCTCCAGCAGTGAACCACTGGTCTAAAACAGGCAATCCAAGACAAAAGTGTGCCTGAATCAGCAAGCAGCCTGCAATGGCTTCTGGGAACTGCGAGGAATCTGAATATCAGCATTTCTCCTACACAACAGCTCAAAAGCTTGAGTACCACAACTAATGTCTTCATTACTAAGAAATATCAGGTTTTACTTGTATGTGATGCTAGATTTCAAATATGTTAATTTGCATGTTGATATCACCTTATAAAAAATGAATGGCTAGAAGTTAAAAATATAAGTGTAATCAATTGAAATTTAGTTTCCTCACTGATTTAAACCATCTGTTCAAAATCTGACCCACCTTGATTTTATTATGGATCTTTTTAAGGAAAATTAAATATGTTTACTTGTTTTTCTGTAAAGATGGGGTAAAGGTTAACAGAAGGTAGAGGAACCCCTTGTTGCTACAAATGTTTGCCAGGAAAAGGAAGTCCAGACAAAGCTCTCTTTGACTGACAAAAGAGATACAAAAAGTAAAAAACTAAACTAAACCAAAACAAAACTAAAGCCATTTGCCATAGTTTTCCTCTGGAGTCAGGAGTGTTCACACTTTGGGTTTTCCTCTATGAACTTACCTGTGGGTAGACTCTGGAGGACTCTGTCAAGGAATAAGCAGACTGGAGTGACTACAGAAGGGCAAAAGCACACTGATTCTGGGTCATCTTTACAAAGTTTAGGTTTACTCTGACAATGTACTGTTACTCCAGTACATTGAGACCCAGAACACTGGGGACACAGAAGGGTGAGGATACAGGAAGTTTTCACACCAAAACATTAAAGAGAAGATAAAAGTATTTTTGCTTCCAAGATGTAAGTGCAGAACAGCAAAACTCTTCCTTCATGGAGCTTTCAGGGCACTTGCATCTTGGTCTTTTGACCTAGGGAACTTGACTCCAACAGCTACTGCAACATACATCCCACACATAAGTGGGTTATTCTGGGGGGAAGGGAGGTGGGAATCACCTGTCTCATTTACCCATTCTAGAAGCCCCTCCCTCTGAACTACAAAAGAAAAGCTTTATAGGCTTTAGCCCCTTTATAGGGCTTATAGGCAGCCTGCTGCCTGCTCCAGTCAAAATCTGGACTATTTTTAAATCTTTTAACTTGATTATATTGCCTTTATGTTCAGAGAATAACTGTTCTCTGAAGTCCACAGATACGTGGGCCTATGTGCTAAAGCTCAGGAAACACTGCACCTGCCAAGAACAAGATCCATTTCAAAACCAGACTGAAAGCCCAGCAGAGCAGGGACTTTGACTTTATCATCTCACTGTTAGCACTGTATTTTTATCCTGTAGTGTTAACACATTAATACACATCTCCATTATTTCGTCAGGAGAAATTAAGAAGCCAAGTACTAACTTTGATTTAGAAACCTGTCAGTTCACACGCTACTCTGTGGCCACTTGCTAAAAGGTGGCTAATTAAGAAAAAGTCCATTTCAGACTTAAACTCACTCAGGATCTGCACCTCCACAGGAAAACTGCTGGGAATATACAAATCAAGAGGTAAGAAATAGCTCACAAATAAATAAATCCTGTACATTGTTAATGGGTATACATTGTGTAGAATCCCTATCTGACTCATGCTCTTTCCCCTCTGACTAATTTCCCATGGGATGTTAAGTCTTGATAAGAGCCACTTTTTTCCCTTAAAGTCAGCATAACTTTGTCAACAGCAGCAAGCATAAGAGAAAGCGTGGCAATTTTAAGCCCACAGAAGTAGGGTGGCTCAGCAGAGGAGAGCTCTCAGCAGCAGGAGTCAACTTCAAACTGACCATCACTGGTCAGCATTTGCATCATGCTGGCTCATTTCCTTGTGAAGGAAGTAGATGCCACAGTGCCTTCACCTTCACTGTGATGAGAGTGTAAGTAAAATTCCTCCCCATTATAATCCTAGAACAGATGAGGCAGCTTTATGGGGTGATTACACATCTAGTAGATAATGTTGTCTCTACCTTAAACAGCTACTCACTGCTCACTTTTCATCCTTGTCAGGCTCTCACCCTTGCACTTCACTACCACTTGTGTATGTTAGCGCACAAGTGCAGAGCCATCTTTTTTTATACATTATTACAAAAAGAGCATAAAACTCCATCTCAACTGATAATCAAGATGCTATTTTTTCAATTGGACTAAGCCATCTAGGAAGCATTCACCAGTCCCGGCTTACTGCCCATCCCTGTTCGGAGCAGACACTTTGACCTCCTAGCCCTCATCGCCTTAACACACAGCGCCTAATTCACATGTCCCACTCTGCCTTTGTCTCTTCCGTACCATCTCCCCCACGCTCTAGGAGGATCCTGCTTCAGGAAGCAGCAGGAAGCAGTTTACCTGGTGCGATCTGGCGGGCACGCTCTTTACCAGACCCTCTGTGTCGGAGGGCGACTTCTGCGGAGCCTGCTTAACCGGTGCCATCAAGCTCTCAGAGGTACTGCAGCTGACGAGGTGGCAGAGCAGAGTTTGCACGACAATGTTCAAGAGGGACAAAACAAAAACAAAAACAAAAAACGAGTGATGGCAAGATGAATGTGGCAGATTATGCCAAAGTAAAAATGAACATAATGGATTCTGAAATAAACACATATAATTCTCCATCTCTCCCCAGATATTTATCTATGTTTCCTCCCAGAGTCTCATTGGTAAGCAACACAAAGGAACAACATAACATAGCAGCACAGCAGCTCCTTCCAAACCTCTGTTCCCCTAGATATTCCCCTTGATATCCCCATTCAACCCAGCCTGTCTAAAACTCTGTGTTTTCTTCACTGAGGCTTCAGTTAGGAGTGGTAAACAGCAATTATCTTCTAACTATAAGCTAAATGGTCCCAGTCACTGAAGCAACTGTTACACCAGTGGTAGGTAGAGAAAACACTTGCAAGAACCACCAGCTCTCCATACCAGAAAGGTACTTCCTACCAAACTCTGCATTAGTTCCCTTGCTTTTGGTTTGGCTATGAGCCCAAAATAATTCTACCCATTCACAACAGACACTAATGTCTGGAGCAATTCCATTAAGAGTCACATGTGACATGTAAGCTATGTGCCCTGATACAGCTATTTGAATATCTAATTAGGCAAATCTTGTGTTTCAAACAATTAAACTGTCTTGTAGTGAGAACCAACACCCTCACAAGAAGGTTGCCAGCTTTCACTCTCTGTTTGCTGCTTTCCATCTGCTTGAAGCAGGACTGAAAAGAAAACAAGCATGTGACAGACAGAGAAATTAATACCACAGAGCTGAGTATATGAGCAAATGCCCTTGAACTTAATGTTAGTAGCTTCTGGGCAATGCAGTAACAAGTCTCTAAATGCTAGGTCTACCTCCTCATACCCAAGCACCCACGAGAGGAAACTAGCTGCCTCCTTGACACAGGAACTCTCTTTGCTACCAAAACCCTCTGATCACTGGCCATCCCTTTCCCCCAGTCTTTGTAGACAGTGTACAGAGCAAATACACGAACAAACAAACGAGGACACTGATATCAAGCAAATCATCTCCTCACAGGGTATTTTTTTTTATCCTTCGGTAAGTCTAACCGTAGAGGACTCAGCTCCTCATACATGCAGCAGTAAGGAAAAAAAACAAACTGCCCCAAGCCACCATGGCAAGGGGCTTCTACTGCCCCAGACAAGGCAGCCCTTCTGTTACCAAAACGACATAATCATGAATTGTTTGCTTTATTCACAAAATTCCTCAGCTCTACACTATCTAAAAGTCGTAATTCAGGTCTAAGCAACTAATGCACTTAGATCACTGCAAGTTTTCAAACATCCGAGCTGTCTGAGCCAGAGGAACACTTACAGCGAATTTACTTTTATTTTGACAGAAAGGGCTCTGAATTTCCTGTGCTTTAGCCAATGCACTGGCAAGTTCACTGCTGGAAGAGATGGAGGCACACCATCTGGGATAAGCAGCAATCCAACCCCAGTTAGACACGAGACAATGAAACCCAAGCGCCCAGTGAAATGCAGCAACACTTTGCCAACAGATTCCAGCACAAATTACAGTGAAGTTATGTTAGTAGAGAGCTAGCTGGTTAGTCAGCAAAGGAAATGTGTACACACACACACAGGTATTAACAGCAACCACCAACTTGATTAGTTACCATGGTGTCTAGTGGGACTGGAAGAGAAGACCCAGCCCTGCTACATTCCCAATCTGGCGTCTATATCAGGATCTCTGTAAGGAGAGGAAGGTAAGCAGGATCCGATCCCAGCACACCAAGGCAGAAAGAAAAAAAAACACAACAAAATACACCAAAGTCAGAGCATGAACAGAGACCGTGGCCATGCAGGGGTTCCAGATGCCGCACAGTGAGCCAGCCCACCTCAGTTCAAGGCAGAATGGTTACCTAAGAGTAAGTGCATCTCACCAGCACCAGCACCACACACCGGGTTAGCATCATGTAGAAGACACTCTGTAAGTTTGGAGGGAATCACACACACTTGAGTTCTCTTTACACGTCATGCAGAGCTGGTCAGTGAAAGCAGCATTTAAACTTCAGAGAATACTTCCCCAAGAAAGTAGTTAAATCTACTACAAGAAATTACAGTGCATAAACTACTGCTGCAGGCTCAGCACCAGCACGTGTCCTTCAGCAGGAAGACACTAGCGAGCCAGTCGCTGGGAAGCAAGGCAAGCGGAGCACCTCACGCACACCGCTGGTGCATGACACTGCAGGCTTCCTTTCAGTTCTTAGGGGAAGGACACATGCAGAAAGGGAAAACCAGGCTTTCCACACCATTTTGAGCGCACACAGTTGCTTTTGCTATATTTAGCCTTACCACTGGGCAATAGCCAACTCACTTTCTCTAAGCTCTCCAACTGGGAAAAGGACAGGGCAAAGTTTAATTTAGAAATCCCCACAAGTTTATTTTTGGAGTTATTTTCTTTTATCCCACAGGCAACCCAAAGAACCTGCAGGAAGCAGGAACATTTGTTGGGGAAAGAACAGAAGGAAGTTGTAAGTGTGGGGTTTGTTTCTAAGATTATATCCATAACTTTAATTCCTTCTTATAGAAGCAAACTACCAGCTAATTACAGAGGAGAAAAAAGGAAGCACCTTCCCCACCAGCACCAAGCTGCATCACCACAGGACTCAAGCCTGCCTTTGTTAGTTCTTGTTGCTTTTCAATATGCCTGCTCAAAGATCTGTGTTTCACTTTGGAGCTCTCCTCCTAACACTAAAAACCTTGCAGGGATGGTAACAGTTAACAAAAAACAGACAGTGAATGAGAATTGATGCAGAGTGGCTACTCCTTCCTTACTTTGAAGTGTGGTGATGTATGGGGTTTTGCTAAGTACATTGCAGGCTCAGGAGCCAGACACTGGTAACTGAAAAATCCAGTCTTAATCTCAACACAGAACATTCCTTAGAAGTGCATGTATGGCACTTCTACTTTGGAGGTTGAGGGGGGTAGGGGAAAGCAGGGCCAGAAGGAAGGAAGGAAGTAACAGGAATGGACCAGAGCTAAGGGATCTTGGATTAAATGTTCTTAGGGAGTATATGCTTGTGGCTGGGGATCAGCTCCAACATTTAGTAATTTTCAGGTGCAACTCACGGTCAGTAGGTCTTCTCAAGCACAGTACAAAGATCATCATTATAGGCAGATGACCAGCGTTACATACTGCCGTACTCTATCTCTAGTCAAGACTTGGCTGAAACAACTCCTACCCCCCTCTAAGCCCCCCCTCTGATCCTGCTGCTGTTCCTCACATCATCCACAGGTGAGGAGGAAGATCTCTTACCCAGAGTATCGTTTTTTAGAGTTGTTCTTTCTGATGACAAGACACACGACAATAGAGATGAGCGGTGAGAGACCTGTAACCGTACCGATGACTATCCCTGCCACCATGGCAATGGGGAACGCAGGCAGGCTGTCTGGAGAGAGAAGGGAGAAAACATTCAACTCTTCTGTATTCCCTGATCAACCAAAGTGCAAACCGCAAATGCTCTTGACCTTGGATTTGTTTAGAGCAGAAGGCACTAATGTGATATCCAGGAATTATAACATGCAGCCTAGGTGGTAGTGATAGCAGGCAGCCAGCAGAGCAACATATGAACACAGCACACAGCAAGAGTGTTCTTAATGTCGCCATCCTTCAGAAGAGAGTTTATATTCAACCACAGATTTTCACATGTCAGGGAACACAAGTGACAATGAGGACAACTCTGTCTCCTTTTGTATCTGAAGGGAAAAAAAAGTTACATTCATCTGGCAATTCCCAGCGAGGTCAACAGGGAAAGGCAGGCACACTTGAAAGCAGATTTGAATGCAGAGCATCGCTAAACAACTAAGAGCACCGAAGGCTGGTTGTTCTTTAGGTATCATGCAGCAGCCAGCCAAGTTACTACCCATGATCTCTCCTAAGTGTGTTTATACATGATTCTGGTGTCTTAAAACACATCTCTGTCTTGGTTTCGCTGGGCTAGAATAATAGAATCAGGTTTCTACACCATAAACATTACGCTCACTATAAATTGAGGAGTTCGCTGGGGGTGGTCCTCTTTCCTCAATGGTTGTCATCCCTGGAGGGTCTTGCCCATTATTCTGCTTCCAAAGCCTATGCCCCTTCTTGTTGCAACCACTATATCAGCAGAGTATAACTTTGTGTACTTTATATTAATATTGCTATTTGTGTTGGTGTTTATTATTATTATTATTTTATTAAATCTGTTTCTGTTTCAACCCATGAGTCTCCTTTCCTTTTCCCAATTCCCCTCCCTGGGTGGGGAGGAGTTATCAGGTGATAAAACAACTGTCTAAACTACAAACTCTATACATTTTTATAAAGTAATTCTTTTCCTTCTGAAGTCAAGGTTATTGTATGATACTAGAAATATGCTTGTAGGAACAGAGGATTACTTTACTCACATTTTCCCCCAATATAATTTTGGGGGAAGGGAGGCCAAGAAAGAGCAGCCAGAAATAAAAGCCAATCAGAGATTGAGTACAAAAGACAGAAGATAAAGAATATATAGACTACCATTATAGCTTTTCCCAGTGAGAAACAAAGTCTCACTCCAGTATCATGTTTAATGCAACGAACTTCTTAGACGAGAGGGTTTCTTACAAGACTCCATGCTACGCTAGCTAATTCCACCCCATACCAGTGAATCAGTGTAAGATCCAACAGGATCTTTCTCAGATACTTGCATCTGATCATCCCAGAATCACTGAGGTTGGAAGAGACACTTTGAGGCTGTTGAGTCCAACCCCCGCTCAAGCAGGATCAGCTAGCACAGTCTGCTCAATACTCTGTCCAGTTCGGTTTTGACTACCTCTGAGGATGGGAGACTCCATAACCTCCCTGGGCAACCTATTCCAATGTTCAACCACTGTAAAAAATGTGGTTTATGTTCAGACAGAATTTCCTGTGTTTCAATTTATGCCCACTGTTTCTTGTCCTGTCACTAGCACCACTAAAGAGCCTGGTTCAGTCTTCTTTAGATCCCATCCATGTACACAAATACCTGGTGAGAAGACCCCCCGAGCCTTTCCTTTCTTTTGCAGGCTACACAACCCCCGCTCTCTCAGCTCCTCCTCATATGAAAGGTGGTCCAGTCCCTGAATCATCTTAGTGCCCCTCTGCTGGAACCAGCAAGTTTGCAGCCTGTAGACCAAGCCCATTTTCACATACATGTGTGGAAAGGAGCAGCAGAGCACAGTACCCTGAAGCAGAGGCATCATACTAAGAAAACCAGGCTTGCAATTAGCACTGTTTATTTTGAGGTCAGTGACTTTTAGGAGAAGGGCTACCTGATCGCTAGCTGTTTCACTGATCATTTGGCCGAATATCACAACAGTAGTTTTCCTAGCTCTCCTGTGTCAGACGCCAATTCATAACAACATCGTAATTCAGAGTCTTAGTAAGAAATTAGAGATAAAGACGTGTACCACAATTTAGAGGAAGACATTCCTTCTTTCCAGAGCCTTTCAGCAGCCCAGAGATCCATCTGCTGTAGGAAGAGAGTCCTACAAACCAAAACACTTTTCACATACAGAAGACTGAGATAGTGTTTGAGCCCCATGCAAAGATAAACAAATTTATTTCGAGGCATATAGGAAGTAGGAGTTTCCTGTTTTTTGTGCTTTTTCACCTTTCCAAGTGCAGGAATAACTGTCTGCAAAAGCATCAAGGCAGACACGCATTTCTGCTAGCAGACCACCTGTTGCCTTGTATACAAGAAAAAAACAAAACAAAACAAAACAACCCCAAAACACACACACTTCTTCAGAGCAAGAAAGCAAGCAGCAACCCCAAGCTACAGTGCAAAGTGTCTACTGAAGGAGTGATATTAAAAATTTGGCACCATCTAATCTGATAGTTTTGTCATTTCTTAGACTCAGGTGGAGTTTTTTGGTTGGTTGAATTTGAGTAAAGGACAGCAGTTATGTTTGGCTGACAGCGGTTTTTAAGACCATATAAAAAATGCAACTGTTTGTACATGAAAATAGAGTTTGGCTTTATTGCCTCTCAGAGCATGGTCCAACAACAGACTATACAAGAGCTCACACAATTTTACAACCACACAGTTCAGCTGAAGAATGTCTCCCCTCAGTTTTTCTTATATTTATCAGTATTCACAGTCACATGAATTCCTCATAAGTACTTGCAGAGCAGCCAATGACTTCATTGTAACAGACAGTCCCAGCTACATAACCAAACAGCAGCTCTGAAAGCTAACATTTAAGTCAAGAACTTAACAAGTCAAAAATCCAGCCTTTCAAAGAACACTTTTCATTAAATATCACCATAATTCAAAGCAACTTCCATTTTTTGCTGTGTTAGTATCAGTTTTATGAAATAGGCAGGAAACTGATGCTTGTAGGCAGCAACTGACCATTGCTGCTATGTATAAAGACTTTCATGCAACAGTACTAATTTTTTCTCCCATGAGAGTTGAGATCAATGATGGACTACCTCCAGATAACACAAGCTGTCTTGAACACAGTGTTAAGTAGCATCCTATTACAAGCAGGGGTAGCTTAATGTAAGGACTTGGAATTCCCTACAAATTTCTGTCATTTAGGCTTTGAACAATAGTCCTTTCCAGATTCAGATCCACTAGTGAAAGAACAGTCTTGTTTCTCATCCCTGACAGTAGGATTCTTCCAGCATAGTTGAAGGAGCTGTTTGCGCAAACACTATGTAGATACAGCAGTGAAAATCAGCCGAGTTAGCTTGGCTTGGCAATTTTAAACAGTTAAGCCAACCCAGAACTTTTTAAATGTTCAATCTAAAATCTAAGGCTAAGCAGGCATCTGTGAGATCATTTAAATGTGTAAAGTATGTATGTGGCTTTGAACAGTTTATAACACCAGACATATGATTCAGAACAATTACACATACACATAGTAAAGAAAAATTGCAAAAGAGTCAACGTGCTTATTTCTATTGAAAAAATTTCTCCAGCTCAGTTCAGGTGACTTACAACCATTACAAGAGCAGTACTTTCAGGTTAAATCAGAATGGCAGACAGCATTACATCTATAGCTTGAAAACCTGCTTTCAAGGTCTTCCTAAGAATTTGAAGATAATTGTCTTTTTCCTGATGACGAGAAGTATTGCCAAATACAGGGTTCCCTTCAGAAACAGTGAGGTTCTCTTGTCCAGATGCTCCACCTATGGGGAAGCCAGCATGCAAGTCTGTTGAAAAATATCAGCTGAATTAGTGTACTGAAGTCAGTCTTCATCTGCTTAACCTGGGTTAAAATCTGAAGAGGTCTTGACAAGACAGCCTGAGTTTGCCAAACCAGCAGCTGCTTTACTGCTCCTTCATAGAGACTATCAATACATTGTTAGAAAATAAACTGACCCTATTTTATACACGCTTTAAACTCTCAAGAAACAGAAAGGTCTAAGTGGAGGCAGCACCTCCAGAGATCCCATCCAACTCAAACTGTTCTGTGAAGAGAAGAGTTAGATATAGACCATGCCCACATAAGTAGATGGAATGATCTTATGAGCAGGGGAACACACCTGTTATAGCAGCAGTACCATTCTAATTAGAGCATACACGTAGGTATCTTCCCTAACATAATAAATCTAATGGAACAGCTGTATCAGCACTGCCACTTACGAAAACAACATTTATTCTTGTTCTTATTAAATATGAATTTGGAAACCTGATTACTGTAAGAACCATTTCATTGTAGGAACAGTCACACTTTGGCTGACCTCCAGCTTAGCTAGAACAATTGAATGTTTTGGATGGCCAAGGGAAATAAAGAGCCAGATAGAATGTAAGTGCTCTTGAACTGTGATCATTGTTACCAAATGCTAACCAGAAGCCTTAAGTGACTGCAAGTAGCCAGCCCTAGCAGCTCATAAGGGTTCCCATGGATACTGCAAGAACATCCGCATAAGGGAGACTGAATGCACGTCCAACACAAACACCTTCGCATGGAAATCTGCAGAAGCATTTCACTGTCTGTCAGTACGTGCTCGGGCTGGATTCTTAGTTTTAGTTTCCCGTATATATATACTGGATGGGTTCCAAAAAGAAGAGTCTGCCACTTTCTCTCCTTGGTTCCCAGATTTCAAATCATCCTAACCCTTGATGTAGCATAATACAGAAAAAACCAAAATCATAGGATTTTGAAACGGGAAGATGGGTTTTCATCAAGACTCCCATCAGGTTTTGCTAACACTTGTTAGAAGCACAGGAATTAGTGGGTGGAGGAAAAGGGTATGACATACAGTTTTTTAAACAGCTGACAGAATATCAGTTTGATTATTAGGACCTGGAAGAAAAGAATTAAAATTATAGTTGTTCCCTCGAGGCTACCTCCCTGCCCCCAAGAAAAGTGACATAGACACAGAAGAGGAAGTGGAAAAAAAAAAGGAAAAAAAAAGTCATATAAGGCAAATACCTTTCTCCACAACTCTCACTCGAATTTCTCCTGGTTTGACAACAATGTCGGGTGGGTTCTTGACATCGCAAATGTAAGTGCCGTTGTCCCGGAACTGCATGTTTGATATACTGATAGAAGCATCTTTCTTGTTAAGGTCTCCAGCCCACGTGATCCTGTCTTTAAATGGTATATCCTTTCCAGGGTATGGCTTTCCATTAAAGTAATAGAAAAACTGTGGTCAAGGAAAAGAGGATATAAGAACAAATCAATTAGAGATTACACAGCTACCGTGCTTTTCTCACAGTTACAGCATTCTCCCAGAATCCACTGTATTATACACAGCTAGTATTTGAGATTATTTTTCCTCCTGCCTCACCACTCTAGTCTGGTTTGTTATCTCTTGATCGCTTAACTATGTTATGGTTTATACCTCAATCATACTACCACAACAGTCTGCAAGTTTCCATTTTCTGTTGGTTTTGTTTTGTGGTTCGATTGTTTGGGATTTTTTTCCTGTTTTTGGGGAAACGGAGTTTTGCAAACAAGAAGGTGGGGAAAAGAGAAAAAGGCTCATAATCTGGGAATAACGAAAGGATAGACCAGTTCTGGATCACAGCCATCTTTCAGGCACAGGAAGCCTTCTGTATCCTAGTAGGAAAAGGGTACCAAGCTTTCTATCTCATGTTTTGCTGTGTGTTACTTGCAATTACAGCACAGCTAAACTAACATGCAATACCCTCCTTCTCTCCACCTCCAGAAAAATCCCATGAGCAATTCACAGCATACCTGGCTGTTTTCCAGAAACCTTCACAGTGACTAAACATAAGTTTCCCAGTTTTCAGGTGACTAAGGTGCACATTGGCCCTGCGCTCCCTAGACATGACAAAAAATCCTTGAAGAACGAGCCCGATTAGTATCATCTGAAGAGAAACTGCATCTTTCCTTGCTATACCTGACCAAAATTAGAATTCACAGCAGTAGAAGTGCATAAACCTCTACAGGACAACTCTGTTTTCAAATACATGGGATATTTGAACACTGGTCATAATCCTAAGAAAGGGATCAAGGCTGTATTGCAGGAGCACATTCATTCTTAATTTCACATTCTGAAAGAGCAAGATGAACTTAATTCAACCAAGAATCAAACTGAACTCTCTTCAGTTCAGCCTCCAGAGCATGGTTAAATAAATTTAAGACAATATTCCAGCTCCCTCTTTCTACAGCCTTCTTTAGGAAGCAATCTCTGTCACAGAATAGACTGGCTATAAGCCAGTTCTCTTTCCTTTCAAGTCTTCTCTCATCTCTTTTCCTGTTCCTACCCTTGATCTGAGGCTTGCCATGCCAACATCCTCTCCCTATCAGACTTGCACTCTGAATATCAGGCCTGATCATTTGACAGCACAAATCTTACCCAGATCAGGTATGTGCACAAGACCAGCTGTTGTGTTGCAGTCAATCTGACACTTACTTGTTGCCTACAGGCTAGCATAAATCCAACAAACTATCTCATCTGGTTGGAAGTCTGCTGCACACAGTCATCTGTCAACATTTCAGCAGAAATCTGCGCCAGTCTGCAGCATTTCCAGCTGGATTATAACCTTTAGCACAGAGACACTGCATTAGCACACCCCTGTGCATGGGGGGAGTCATCCGACTGGAAGTTTAGAAGGCAAGAGGCAGATTCCTCAGCTCTCTAGGTATCCTCACCTGAGGGAGGAGAAATCACAAAGTAAAATATGTCCTGAGACACAAACTGACTCAAGCCACTCCATGCCTATGATTAAGTGATTTAACATGAGACTTCTTTTGAAACCTAAATCTGATGGGTTTAGACTGGTTTAAGCCGATTGTGAAACTCTGCTGTCACCAGATGTTTCATTCACGCAGAGATGTCTCTATAACTGGGTGTGTGGAAAGGGGAAGGGGACGAGGAGGGGAAGTTTTCAGTTTTCCATCAAGTCAGCCTCACCACATGGCCAGGATTGCCAGTGCTGATTCTAGAGAGGCACAGGACCATCTTTTTCAGGAGAAGCACAGACTTAGCTCAGACATAAGCTGATCATGAGATTGATTTTTCAAATTAATGACTGTAAAGCCACATAATTGACACAACTTGGGTTCACAGAAAAATCTTCCCTCTCTACCTCCCTTAACCCCCCAAAAGAAACAGGGAATTAACATCAGATCATGCTGGGTCACTTCTGCTCAAAGATAATTTGCTTTCTTTTAGTTGTGCTGATAACTACATCCAGGTAGAATGTCTAAATTGATCTCACTTCAAAACAAATGTTACATCCTGAAGTTGTATTTCTACAATGATTTTGGACAGTGATGAAGAAAGGGAAGGGCAAAACAGGATATATGGTGGATGTTTCTAAGCGGAGCAGAAAACTTACAAACAGATGGTTTCTTTTCCTCTATCCTGTTCAACATTGGCAGGAAATATGCTCTACTTCCTTAAGCTTTTGCCCAGCTACTGCTTCAGCTTCCCAAAGAGAAGAGCTCCCTTTTCAAAACTAAGTACTTATGCACTGAGAGTTCAGAAGCTGATTCTTCAGAGGTCTATATACTGAGCAAGATGCTCATACGCTGTTTTGGATCATTTCTGTTCTGAGCATTAAAGGACTCCTTGAGTTTCAAAGATCTCCTGTCTGCAGCAGAGGGAAGGAGACAAACACTAACAGGCTGAGTAACCTGCTGTCCTCACATCATCCTTGCTGCCCAAGAGTCTCCTGTTCTGCTTCCTCTGCATTCCTGCATTCTCACTCAGAAAAAGGAAATAGAGGGAAGCAGAAGTGTCAGAGGGCTCAGACTCATGTGCACAGCTTACGTGACAGAGGAAGAAGACTCCTAACAATCTACCAAAGTCACTTATTTGAAGGCTCATGCCCAAAGGATCTGAGCACACTTGGGCTCAACATATAGGAAATGAGTGATGGCAATTATTAGCCTAAGTGGCTTGATTTTTTCCTTGTCAAAGAACTAAAATATGAGGATGTAACTACTTACTGATCTGATCAATTCAGTTCTGTTCTGAAACCAGGGAGACTGGCCTTATTTGAAATCCTTTCAAACAGAGGCTGTACAGTACACAAACAGAAAATAAGCAACACACACAACACACAGTATAACACTGTAATAGTGGTAATTCACATTCTGTGACCACTACCATTCCGTGCACAGCTCTGCAGCTCCTTTCAAGTGCAAGAGAACACAGAACCTAGGAGAAGATTCCTAAGTGCTAATCTATTTCATAGGTGCTGCTACCACCCCAACAACCCTCTCCTCTGACCATCAAAGTACAGACGTATTTTAGAGCCACTGCACACTCCAGTCTTTGCAGAATGAGATCTAGCATATGATCATATTTTTAAACAACCCCGAAAGATCCCCCTGAAATCGGAGTGATGGAGACAAGACACATGGAAGGAGGCCTCCCATCCATATTTGCTTGCTCCCGAGAACCAATTAGAAGACTCCCGCACTCTTATCACAGCTTATTCCCTTCTCCCCTCCCAGGTTTGTTCCCCTACAGCCAATCCTTACTGAGATACGAGTTGCAACTCCCTCTGGTTGAAAACTCCAAGAAACAGATGCTGCGCTGCTGATCACTTCCACAGATGTAAACGTGCATGGAAGCTTTGCGTCTGTCCCATTCTCCACAAACATCTCCTCCGGTGTGTTGACCTCTACGGCTGATACTTTGACTGCATGGGAAAGGTAAAGAGAAGAAAGAAGGAGAACAAGCGGCATCAGTGCTGTTTCAAGAACCAGGAAGTCAGAGCAGTAACTGTTCATATCACATTGCTTGGTAAAGGGAAAAGAGAAGAGACATCAACAACTCCTACATCAAATGTGTGCACAGGCATTGTGTTATACCTGCAATACAAACAAGTATGGAGCAGGCCAGTTCACTTCTCCTTCCTTGTATTATCTGTTACAGGATGTTTTCCATCCACAGATGTTTCCTCTGCAACAGTTTGTGGAAGTCAATTCCATGGTGCAAAGGATGAGTTTCAAACTCTCTCCTACTGGCTGCCAGCAGACATTGTAATAAATAATCCCCACTGGAGAAACTAACATCCTGGGCCCAGCTATTACTCAGTTTCCTCTCTGGCTCACATCTTGTTTCCCATCTCCAGTTTTTCTCAGCTGTAGGTAGAAAAAAAGTACACTTCCAGAGAGCTGAGGAGTAAACCTCGCTGGCTCCCAGCTACACCATCTGCTTCTGCTCTCTAGCATGCTTCAAGTCTTCATGTGCAAGACCTCATAAATAATCACTCGGAAGCATGAGAGTAGTTATATAGAGGCTTCTACACGGTTAAAACAGCAAGCAGACCACAGCCATTTCCCAAATTTAAAGTAATCAAGGTTAATATTGTGCTTGTACCGGTAGTTTTCCTACAGAGTAAGTGAAAAAGTCTGTGTGATTTGGAAAACCTGTTGAACACATTATTTATCTGGCACCTTTTAAACTGCAAATACACTATCCCTATCCAGATTTCAGCAAAGATACATCTGTACATTCAAGTTAAGAAACAAAGTGTGATCTTGTGATGTCATAAAAGAATGTCTTTCAGCATTTATGCCAGTGTGAGAGCAAAAATCCTGTAAAATCACTGTGTGTGGGTGTGCATGTAACATGTGCCTCAGGTAACTCAAATATAAGTTTTGATTTTTATTAAACTATAGTTTTCAGCATAGAGATGGCACTAGTAATCTGCTTCTGATCACGATTCTATGTTTCTGGGCTGCAATAGCTTAAATTCAGGGGTTTTCCTCCATTATTAGAAGAGGAAAACAAGCCTTCCTGCTTCTTCAGTGTCTTAGCTGATTTACTTCTGAACTTCGAATAAACTGTCTCTTGAAGTAGGCAAACTGAAAAGAATGATTCCAGTTGAAGACAGTTGAAGAAAAAGTAAGAAAAACCCACCTACGTTAGTCCTTAAATTATGGGGTTTATGCTTTTAGTCAGTGAGAGCTGCCAGCTCAGCAGCCTTTAGAAGCTAGACAGCAAGCTTCTTTCAAGTGATGTGACCCTCCTAAGCCGTAGATTTGCCATAAACCAGGTTATTTTACCAGAGCTTACAATTAAGCAAAGCCCATGCTCCACAGAGAATTTTAGAAACCATCTTCTACTGATGTGACTTGAAGCCTCATTCCTCAAGAAAACAAAGCTCACGTGAGCTGTGCCACTTCCCATCTTCTTCCCTCGCTCCAAGATTACCGAGTCTCTTGGGCAACTCCAGCCAAGAGCTGCAACACAGGGCTATGAACACAGCGGGCAGCAGCAGCCAGCCCTGTGATACCGACCCCTGCAAACTCCGGAGCTCAGTCAACGAAATGGTCAAATAATGAGATTTAAACACCCTGGCCATCCAGGTACACCCAACAACCACTGTGTGTGTGACTTTGTAGGAACCGCTGTCTGTCACCCAACCAGCACGGCAAGGCAAGGGGAGGCAGACCACATGCCCAGGGGACATGGAATGAGCAGGCGGGCACTGCAGGGCTGGAAGAAATAAATGCAGCAGTTTAATTACAATAACCTACACCAGACGAAACCACCATTCATTTCCTTTGCCATTCAGAGTCCACGCTGTTCACTTCTCACACTTGCCACCTCCTCAGTCCCGTCAGGACTCTCTTGTCACCACTGCTCTCATTTCAAAGGAGCGAAAGAGAAACAGCACCCTAAGGGAGAGAGATTTTCATCAAGAGGTTGTATCAGAGCTTTCTTTCTCTTGTACGTACTCTGACCATGAGCCAAAAAATATTCTTTTGTAAAACAATTACCAAATATTTATTCTTATTATTCAAAGCATACAAAGGCTTCTAGCAACTCAATGAAATGAACTCAGAGCTGCTGTGCTTTATGTCTTTTTTCCAGCTAATAGAGTAGAAAAGAAAAAAAATAAAGTCCATTATTTTGAGTCCAAGCCACAGAACAAGCCACCCTTTCAAGCATAAAACAAGCAAAATGCCCTCAGCATTTGCGTAGGAGGAAAAGAGTTTGCACAGACATTGTCTGTTTGTACGTGGTACGGAGAACTCCTTGCAACACACAGGCAGTGGGTAGCACAGATCTGCTTAATCTAAAGAAGTCCCTGTTCTAACTCACTGGCAATCCGTGAGAGAAATATAGTGAAGCAAAAGAAGAAAAAAAAAATCTGACTTCTCTGTACAGGCTAGGAAGGCAGGAACTATGTAAAATTGTACAGATTATTTCCAGTAAGTTTAACTTTCCTATGTCCTATTATTGTCTCAACTTCATGTTTTTCTTTGCTCATTCTCTTCCACCAGCATAAGTCCCCACTTTATTTGCTCTTCCAGCATACACTGCTTCAAAAAAAATTTTCCTGCCTCTGTTGTTTTACAGTTTGAGACATAAGCTCCTCAAATATTAACATGACTCTTTGGAAGTGGTGGAGAGGCTGTAACATTTGACATTTGTTCACCCTTATCCATCCACTCCCATACCTTCACTGATACTGTAGCAGTTCCCACTACCTTGAACTCTTTGGCCTTCTCTGCCGTAATAAAATTCACGTGGATCATTTCCACCTTGAGCTCTTTTCCTTCTCTTCCCACATTTGCCAGGATTACATCCTCCTTCCAGCTCCTCCATCTATTTCAATACTTCAGTAGGGGGAAGTTGCCTTTTGAGTCACGTTGCAGCCACACTTACCCACTGCTCCATTCCTGAAGCTTCCTCAGCCTTAGTTGCTTTCAAGAGGAAAAAAATCTATCGCTGCCTGAGGGAGAGGAGAGCTTCAGGAAGGGAAGGTCTGCAAGGTACACAGGGTAAAGAGAAACATTTGCTCTTCTCCCATAGACCCTCCTTGGTCCCATCATCCTGTCCAACTCTGAATATCATTTCTAGCTTTTATTTAGTTTAATTCTTCTTTTCAGCAGAAAGATGCTTCTATTTTTCTCACCTACCATCAAAATCGTTGGGAAAAAACCCATCTGTGCCTCTTCAGCCATTTCTTTTTCATCTCTAGTGTTGTTGGAGTAGTTTTACCCCAATTACATCAACTCTTACCAGCTAATTTTTCAGCTCCCACACTTCAATGAAGACTCCATACTCATCTTCCTTCTCAGACAATCCTCCTATTCTTGAAATAGGTCAGGACACTCTTACTAACCTAATGTTACAACCCTTACTTACTATCTTTTCTTATTGTTCCCATCATGGATCTCCATTCTTCACCAATGCTCTCTCTATTCTCAGGTCTCTCTCTTCTCTGTATCTTGTCTCAGGGATCTCATCTGCAAACCAAGTTCAGCTCCCATCACTGCACTGACTACTCTGATCTGTGTCTCTGCTCAGGATCTGTCTCCTTACGTTCAAAGAACAGTCGCAGTCTGACAACTTTGTCAATGCTAAGTTGTCAGCTCACAATAAATGGGACTAAACCAGAGCTCATTTTTTCCCCCAGAGCCCTCCACAACTGCATTTATCACCATGGACCTGCCACATGTCTCTCCAACTCATAACCTGTGCAGCATTTTTTACTTCGAACTCTTCTCAGGTCAAGGCGTAGTCTTTCAGAGTTTCCAGCCACCCCCTCAGCTGACACTGCTCTGAAAACTCCATTTCGTACCTTGACCTTCATTACTGCGATGTCCTTTTTGCTCTGGACAGATGGTCAGTAACAGATCAGCAAGTATTGCAGTTCCTGGTAACCAAACTGCTCTAAGGGTGACATTAGGAAGAGGAAGACATCGCATATACAAGATCACTGCTTTCTTCCATGAATTGACTATAGAAGATGTAGTACTCAACATATGCATGGCCACAGCAAGCATTATAGAGCATCACCATCTAACCAACTTTACTGACTTAATACTGTTTTAACTTTCTTGCTGCAAACAAACAAGACCCTCCTAACTCTGAAGGTGTAGCTCTCCAGTAGCTTAAGCAGATCTGAAGATTCAAAGCTTCTCGATTTCTTTATAACACCAGCATGCCTGCCAGGTTACACAAAACCAGTGAAAAAGCGACGTCCTTTCAGATAGCTCAGCCCTGGTCCAGCTCACAACCCCCAGGCACTCTGCTGTCAGCAATGACACCGCTCTGAAATCACCCCTGTGGAAGAGGCCTTTACCGTGAGCAACCAGTGAAAAACAGGAAGATCTATGTGACCTAGTCTAGATGATCCTGCTCTGGCAGGGGGGTTGGACTGGATGATCTTTTGAGGTCCCTTCCAATTCCTAATATTCTGTGAAGGTCACTCAGAACTGACAGACGATAAGCATTCATAACCACAAGAATTTGCATCTAGTTAATGAACCAAATTATGGTTAACTATTTCGCTTGCAGGGAGATTAAGAGCAGTCAAGTTTATAGTTTTCACCATTAAAGTCTGCAGCACTGCAGTGGTAAGTGAATTTAAGCGATATCTCTGAAATGGGGTACACCTTGACCAAAAAAACTCTTGGAGAAGATAGTGAGTCGCTCTCTACAGCACACTGATGGGAGACCTCCTCACAGGTGTCCTCTCTGGGACATCTTTGGCCAGGTTAGCTCAGACTCACCAAGCCACATGTGCTGGCAACTTCATCTGCAGAGGGGACCCAGCCTATGTGAGTGGCTGTCTTAAAGGTCAGAGTTGCAATCCTTCCCCTTGTGCACTACCACCAACTGCTTACATTCAAAGCTATATCCTTGATTAAACAAAATAACATACCAATTATGGTCCACTCCCCAGAAACAAGTTACAAGGTCATGAGTTGACATAACAAGGTTACACAGAGTTACAGAGATTCACCTGTGCATGACACAGTCCCTTAAATGACACCAAGCATCCAAGCTCTCATCTCTGCTTCAGTATTAAGAGACTCTTGCCCCCAACCACGTTATAGCATCAATCTCATCAGACTTTTCAAATTCACATTGTAGGATGTTCTCCTAAACACTGTCCCTCACACTTGGGAGGATCTGCTCAAAATTTGCAAACTTCTTTCACTTCCTTCAAGCTCTCTTAAGTGCTTCCAAAACATTCAGTAACAGCATCTGTATAAACCCAATGGTGCTTAAGCTGTCCATGCTTGGAGATCAATGCCTACTAAAGCTGAAGTGGTTTTTTCCTACTTTTACTTGTATACTCTGGTTGCTTACACTTGTTTCACACTGGCTTAAAAAAAATCTCTTGGGCAAGAATTGTTTTCATTCTACTTTTTTGGTAGAAATAGGGCCCCCACTCTACTAGGCAAGGTTAAAAATTTGGTTTGGTAGCACATCACAAGGAAATCCTTCCTTGCTCTGAAGGTTTACACTAAGTAACATACAGCTAATTAAAATTTAGTTGTATACCACAGTCTACAAATCTTGGATCCAATGAAAAAATTGTTAATTTGGTGCTCTGAATGCACCAAAATAAATTCGATCCCCCTGAATCCAACTTAGCTTGATCACTAGGAATCCTAACAAACTAAGAATACAAACACCGCAGCACTGTAATCATGAGCATCTTCCTTCCACAAGCACAAACACAGCCTAAGCAGAAACTTTTATCAGATCACTAAATACTGGATGCTTACAACCACTACAGTTCCCATCCTACACTGGGAAAAGTGTTACATTCCCTTCCTCTTGAAGTCTAGACACCAGTTTATTAATTAATACAAGCAACTTGCTTCGTTTATCTTAAAGATGCCTGGTAATACAGTCATTCATATAATTAGTAAATAAAATCTCTTAGGGATGAAAGATCAGGAAATAATGAAAAAGTCTGCTGAAAGAAAGATGAAAATATCCAGACAGGCTGTTACAGGTAACAAGCTGATGACAGAGTTGCAGATCAGGAAAATGGAAAGAAATGTGTTAATACAACAGAGTCTGAGCAGTTCACATTTAAAGGTCTCAATAAAACAACAGAAAAGTCAGTGTATCGATATGATCACTGTGGTTTCCCCAGCAGCCCAGAAGTTTAATCAGAAAGGAGGATGTGGGATTTTCTAATGACTAGGGGTCATAAGTCACAAAAACAATATACACTTGTGAAACAGTGCTTCCATTAAGAAATACTCTTACTTAATGTCAAGTGTGTTGTGAAACATTGAAGTTTACTGCTGACATTGCCCTCAAACTAAAGTTGAACGAAATTTAGTTCTTTCTCCCACAAAGCAGTTTCCCCACACAAACAGCACAAAACAACAGCAGCAAGACCTCTCCAAAACATTTTGGAAAACCAGCAAAAAGTTATAGTTCCCTACTGCAATTATCAGCACTTCCATTCTCATAGGCCACCTTTTCTTCACTGTAGATAAAACACCTGATGGAGAAATCCTAGCTTTCATGGTCTTAACAGACAGGAGCAGACATGCCCAAACCATTCCTCTGAATCTCTGCAAGATCCGTGAAAGCATCCAGACGCTGGATCGAATTTCCACAATGAATCCAGTGACATAATTTACCTTTAACATGGAAATGAAATCTATGCCAGCCATTCCACCCAGGAGCACACCATGCTGTATTTCGTAAGGACAACACACAAGTATTAAGGAGCCACATACATCAGCATAACAAAAACCAGATTGTCTGACCATGCCCACACCAGAAATCTCTTGGAAGAGACCTCTAAGATCGAGTCTCACCATCAACCTAACACCACCATGCCCACTAAACCATGTCCTGGAGTGCCACATCCACACACTTCTTCAACACCTCCAGGGATTGTGACTCTACCACCTCTCTGGGCAGCCTGTTCCAGTGCTTGATCCCTCTTTCAGTAAATAAATGTTACCTAAAATCCAACCTAAACCTCCCTTGGTGCAAACTGAGGCCATTTCCTCTTGTCCTATCACTTGTTACTTGGGAGAAGAGACTGATCTTGCTACACTCTCCTTACAGGTAGCTGTAGAGAGTGATAAGGTCTCCCCTCAGCCTCATCCAAACTAAACAACCCCAGTTCCCTCAGCTGCTCCTCCTAAGACTTGTGCTCCAGACTCCTCACTAGCTTCGCTGCTCTTCTCTGGACACACTCCAGTGCCTCAATGTCCCTCTTGTAGTGAGGGGCCCAAAACTGAACACAGTATTTGAGGTGCAGCCTCACCAGTGCTGAGTACAGGGGCAGAATCACAATCAGTGACAGAAATGATGACTAGACAAAGTCACACCAACCAATCTTGATGTCTAAGTGTCAAAGCAGCTAAAACTAAATTCCGCTGCCTCAAAGGAGGACAGAAGAGGTTAGTTTCACTCCCAAATGCCAATCACCAGAACAGCTTTTTGCTGCTACCACAGCAGCTTCCCAGGTTGCCAAACTCATCAAGTAATTCAGGCTGCTGAAGGAAAGAGAGCTTCCCAGCTCCAGTAACACAGCCGCCCCTGCAGCACCCTACCAGCTCTACGAAACAGAAAGAAAAGCTGCTGACACCTAGCCCATGAACACTCACCACCTCCTGATGCCTTGCTGCTGGGAACGTTCACCCCTCAAGCAGAGACAAGCTCAGAGAAGCATCTGCTAACACAACACTCACTTTCTCTTGGCCTCCTTGCGCATTCAGCTAAGCTCTGCCTGACTCAGCTATAAGGGGAAAAAATAGTATCTTGTCATGCCAAGGGAAAGGAAAACAGCTTCACTGAGAAGCCTTAAGAAGGCTGTGGCAAAAGTGTCAAAGCAGTCAATAACATCCATGGATCTTGGCCCTGCACACCTCTGTGCACCTACTTTGACAGAATTTAAAGACAAGTCTTCAGAGTCGCTCAGCTTTGGTATCACCTTCTGCACCCATGCTACAGAGTCAGTTTTTCACGTGGCCTCCTCCACATGACGCAGAGCTGATCATTCTTCTACCAAGGGGCAGCAGAAGAATCTACACTGAGACTGACTTCCAAAGCCCATGCTTTTAACCAGCAGTGAGGAACAAGCATGAGAAACAGCAAAGAACATCTCATCTTCCTTGCCTGCCAGGCCACAGATTTCTTGCTCAATCATGGGGAAGTCATTTTACTGGTGTATCACTCTCTCAACCTGGAAATCATAAAATTGAGATGCTTATAAAGGTGCCAAGATCCATGACCAAGTAAGCGCTATTCACACTGCTTCATGTGCCAATTACAGAGTCAGTCATATGTCAGGTTTGGGCAGATGCTTATTTAGTCTCGAGGCCAGTAACATCTAGCCCTGTTCTAGTAACTTTTCCTTAGGGATCACAAAACAATAATTCCCTGCCTATGCTGGAGACTGGGACACCAATCAGAAGCTCAGGTACTTTCCAAACCAGACATAGTATTTTTTTCCATTCAACAGGCCTTAAGTGGTTTTCTTTCCATGACCAAGTAAGCTTACAAGTGTTCAAATTCAAGTAAACAGTTCTTGTTGGCAAAGTCAAATTAAAACAGTGAAAAACCCAAAGGGGCAAGTTAAGTAAACTCATTCAAAGTGTGAAGGGTAACTGGAAAAGGTGATAGCAGCTGTTCTACCTCTAATCTTGCAATACTAACATAGCTACTAACAAACACAGCAGATTACTCCTTGGGCACAAGAAAATATTCCAGAAAACAAAAATTAAGATTAAGTAAGGGCTACACAGAACAAGAAGATTAAAAGTACATCTTAGAAGAGTGTCCTTGAAACATAAAATTTTTCCCATAAAAAAGGATTTCATTAAGCTTGCTTAACTAAAGCACTGAGAAGCTGGGTATACACACTCAACGAGTGGCAAAGTGAGAGAAGAAAGCACCCCACCATCACAAACATTTCCTGAATTACCATAGCAGTCCACTAAAACTGCCACAATGTCTACTAAAGAAATGAGAGTATTAAGGATCAGAAGCTGTAGACAAAAAAACCCAGACAAACAACAACAACAAAAATTCCCAAGGTGTGGACAGTAGAGATGGACAAGCCACTGGCTGCAACAAAAGCTTCCTTCTAGGTCAGCACTAGCTATTAGTACTATTTCAAGAGAAACTCTGTTAAAAATACCAGTCATGTTGCCAACTGCTGATGGCACGCAGCATCTTTTTGGCAAAAGCTAGCATTAGCAGCATGGAAACCACCAATTTCCAAAACAAACTAGGCAGTAGAATTTAGGATGTGGTTACACAAATTTCATGAGGAGATACAGTGCCAAAGGCTTTTTATCAAACAGACATAAGAAGCTT